GGGTTAAGTATTAAAGTGTTACGTCATTAATTTTTCTGGATTTGATCAAACTGCCTTGATTCAATAAACGCTTCTCCCACGCGATTCTTAGCGCGTGACTCTCCATTCTCACTAACTTATTCCCTTATTTTTTATTATTTAATATTAACAAATTTTATTTTTTCAATTTTTTTAAAAATTATTACTCGTAAGAATAACTCTCATAATAGCTCCAAATAAATAACGTGATTAGGTCACTGGAGATCTAAGAAATGCACGGGTCCCACTATTAAAATTGGATATCAAATCCTAAGCCATAAATGGTCCATTTCGAATGAGTTGGACGAGTGACTTGATCGACTTGAATAGAGTTTCTGACTCGTGGTTGGGTTGTTCTTTTTTCTTTGTCATTTTTTTAAAATCATGCTTATTCACCGTACATGTTTATATTGATAATTAAAATTTTATACAGTTCAAATATCAAATATTTACCAGTCACACCACATCACTAACATCAGTTATATATATATATATATATATATATATATATATATACATATATATATATATATATACACATACATACATACACACACACACACATATATATATATAAAGTTGGATTGGTTTGCAACCCTATTTTTGAGTTAGTCGGGTTGACCCGACAGACAAAATAACCATCGATGATAGGAAGGTTTAATGGTTTACTTGTAAAATGATGTAAATTTAGGGGAGATGGTTGACTAAACTAAAAGATTTAAGAGTGCATTTATATGTAATTTTAACAATTTTCCTTATTATTTATTTAAATGTAGCTTATTAGCTTATAGGCTCGCTACATTCATAAACAATGATAGCTCATAGGTTCAATTTACAATTTATTTAGTTAACTATTAATTTCAATATTAATTTTATTCATGCCTATAATTTAAATCTTACTTCCGAAATCTCTCTACTTCCATTTTCTATAACTTTCTTCTTGAACCAGAGCCGGAGGCTCGAAACTTTCTTCTTGAACCGGAGTCAGAGGCTCGAGTATACGTCGATTGACCGTAGGTGACGCAAAAACGAATTGACTTAATTCAATTGTTGTTGAGAATTGGCTTAACTCATTTGTTGTTGAGAATTGACTTAACTCACTTGTTGCTGAGAAGTGAGTGCTACACAATCGATCAAAATTGGGATTGTGACAAGCCTCAAATCTTCAATATTACGTTTAAATTTTTAATTTTTTATTTAATAGGTTCGTTTTTGACCTATTTGATAATTTTTTAAAATATTAAATTACAAATTTTAGTCTATTAATTATTAGATTTGTACATATTTACGCCCAATTTTTAAAATTAAAAATTTAGTCGTAATAATTTAATTTTTGAAATTAATAGGTCTACAAAAAAAAAAAAAAAAAAAA